ATAACCTTTCTCACCCTGTATCCTTAGCAGAAACTGGGACTATTACTATGCAGGGTGGTTGTGAGGTTGAAAAAGAAGACTATTCCGTGTGCCCTGCCTATAGCAGAACCTCCGTAAATACTCGTTTCTTTGCTCATCGCTATCGCTTTGATGGATAGGCAGGCATTCCCCAGGTTACTTTCTCTCGTCTCAAAGTTTCAGTTGCATTGTATTTCTCCCCCACGCGCTCCACTACCACGCAGATGTATTTTAAAATCTCGTGGCGTGGGGTGGGGGTGGACAGAGAGCAGGCTTTCTGTCAGTTGTTTTGACTTGAAATGAGACAACGTAATGTAACCACCCGGCAAAGCGTGGGTCAGGCGAACTGCCCAGGGAAGAAAGGGAGCGCGGGCCCCGGCCACATTCACGGAGGATGCTGCCTGCTGCCCCTCCGCGTCCCGGTGCGGCCCGGGCCCCCTCGCCCTCCCCGCCGGGGTCTCGAGGCCGCTCGCAGGCGTCGGGAGCCGCGCCGAGTCGGGGCGCCGGGGCGCGCGGCGCTGATTGGCAGAGCGGGCGCCGCCGTCCAGGAAACGGCTCGGGTTTCAGCGGGGGCGTGACCCGCCGGGAGGGGGCGGCGGCGGCGGCGGCGGCGGAGAGCGCAGCGGAGAGCCGAGCGAGCGGGCGGGCGGGCGAGCGAGGGAGCGAGCGCGGCCGCCACAAAGCTCGGGCGCCGCGGGGTCTGCGCGCGGCGTAGCTGGCCCAGCGCGGCGACTCCTTTCCAGGCTGGCGGGGCCCGGGCGCCCCGAGGCCGCGGCTTTCCTCCGCGCTCCGAGCGTTCGCAAGTTGCGAGCGAAGTTTGGTGGAGGAAACGCCAAACCCGACTCCTTTCTTCCTCCCGCTCCCCAAATCCGAGCGCAGCCCGCGGGCGTCATGCCCGCGCGCCTCCGCAGCCTGGGGTGCGCGTGAAGCCTTGGAACTTTGGTGCCGGCGAGGACTCCAGGACCACCTTTTTTTTTTTGCGGGGAGTTGTTCGTTTGCTCCATCCCGACCCACGCTGGGCGCGGGGACAGACCCGATCGCCGGGGATCGTTGCCATTCAAGGTAATCGCCGAGTCGGGCGCCTTGGGGGAGCTTCGCGGGGCGGGAGAGTGGGCGCGGTGGAAGCCCGAGACGCCCGGTGTACGGCCCCCCAAACGGAGGGCTGGCACTGTGGAGGCGGCTCCCTGTCCTTCCTCTTTGGCTGCATAGGTGACTGGGGAGCTGGGTGTCTGCTGACGGCAGGCGTTTGGGAAGTTCTGCCGCTACCACCCCCATCCAGATGCTGACATCTGCCTCTGGCGCTGACACCCCACCCCCCGCGCCCGCCTCCCTGTCAAACTCCGGCCGGCGCACTCCCGCTGGCCGGGTGCGATCCTCCGACCCCGGAGCTGGTGGGCGAGCGCGGGGCAGCCTCGCTCGCTGATGGCACAGCCCGGTAGGTCCCGGACTCGGAGGGGGCATCTTCGAAGTTGCCGCGCGCGTTCCGGGGCCCGGGGAGACCCCGCTCCGTCTCATCTAGGCCCGGGCCGGGGACCCTTCCCCGGGAGGGGTGCGCTGAGGTGGGGCTGGCAACACCGCTGTAGGGTAGGCGAGGGCTCGGGGCGGGGGGTGGCGCACTGGTAAGGGGGCTGCTCCGGTTCCCCGATCGCAGTGCCCTTCGGCCTCCCTGGCCCGCAGCCGCCGTCTCGGCTGGAGGGAGCGCGGTACGCCTGGGGCTAGGGGGCGAACTGGACCGACTTTTTCTAGTTCGCTGCCTGCTCTGCCGGCAGTAGCTCGGAGATGTCGAAAGCGCAGGCGAGTTCTAACTTGCGCGCTCATTCTTTCAGCGCCGGGGCCGCGCCGGGGAGTCAGCCGAGGGCCGGGCCAGGCGCTGGCTCCGACCCTCGCGGCCACAGGGCCAGGCGCAGGGGTTCGGCCCGGCGCCGCGGAGCCTCACCAGCTCCCCTCGCCGCCCGCTCCTTTGCAGACTCTTCTCCGGACCTTCCTTCCTCTCGCCCAATTCAATAAAACCACCCTTAAAGGCAAACCTTCTTTCACCCATTATGTGTTTGGTGTGAAACGCTATCAACATTTAAAACCCCATTGTCCCCTCGGTCCCAAATCCCTGTAAATCTTCCACCGGCCTCGACTCATTTTCATCTGAAAAGCCTGTTTAGTTTGAATAGAAAAGCAATCGGGCGCCCCTCTCTCTCGCCCTGGAATGTCAATTAAAATGCAGATTTCTCTGAGCTCTTTTGCGCCCCGAGAAGGGGGAGAAAATCACTATATTCCTAGCACACAAATCGAAGAACTACAATTGAAACCGGGTTGGTGGTGTTGAGTTCTCCTGGAGCTGCTGCAAGTTCTCATTGGCTTGTCGGGGGTTAACGGGGAAGAGAAGGTGGTCCCGGGTCAGCCTATATTTTGTCTTGAAATTTCTGTGTGTTGAGGAATTCCCACCCCCACCACATCTGACCTCTTGAGAGCCCCCTGCTCTGTTCAGCCCTGGGGGACCTAGGGAGGCTTGGAGCCTGGAAGGTGGGTCTGCCCCCTGGGGGCCTGGGCAGCCCCCACCTTGCCTGGCACTCTTGACTGATGGGAAGTCTGCCGGGAACAAAGCTCCCAAGTGCTCTGGTAGAGGCTCAGTTAAGGCGGGTGATGTATTGACTTGTCTTCTTGAAGGGCGGAGGGTTTGGGAATGTTCTGTAAACTGCATAGATCTGGCATAGGGACCACTCCCCAGCCTAGCCCTCTCACTTGTCACTTTGCTTCTTTGGGGGCAGGCTTGTGCTGAGGTGAAAATGGACGTGGAAGGGGGGAGTTGGGGAACGGGTGGCCAGGAAGAGCTATCCATCACTAGGAGGGTGACAACTCCTCCTGGGCCCAAGCGGAGAAGAGAGTTCCCTTTCAAGGGGAAAAATAAACACGCTGGGGCTTTCACTGAGGCTCAGACTCCAGGAAGGATTATGGTATTGAAGGCAGGAAGCTGGGATTGTGGCCGCCAGCGGCACGCTGGGCCTGTGTTCCCAACACTGAGCCTGGGGACCTCATTATCCCGCCCAGGAGGTCCCTCCGTACCTTTGTCCACTCGGGTGAGGAGTTGTGCAGTCCTGCCGCCCTCCGCCTCCACTTTCCAGAGATTTGGGAAGGAAGGGGGGCAGCTGCGGAGTCTGAATCTGGAAATGGCTACATAAGTCAGTTGCTGGTGCAAGCTGATGGCGTGAAGGGATGCCTTGAGATTTCGCTGAGGTCACTCACTGTCCCCCTCTCCTTGCAAAGGAAGCCCCTTAAGGCCGGGACAGGTGGGTGAGGGGGCTGGGAAGCAGTCTGGGGCCCACTCTCTTGCTGGGATTTAAGACTGTTCCTGGAGTTGTTAGAGGCAAAAAAATTCCCATGCATTCTGGAAATGCTTTGTAAATCAGTGAGAATGTGTGTTCTCCTCCCACGTGTATGTAGAAATAGATATGGAGTTATCTTTTGAGGCTCTTACCTCGAAGAGGAATAGAAAAATTGGCCAAAGAAATCCTTCAAGCAATCTGAAAGCCCCGGGTGGGCGCACGCGCTCTTCTTTTGCTGTGAATCACACCGTTTCACGTGTGCTTTCTTTGAAGAAGAGGTTTTCTTTTTTCCTCCTCTTTTCCCCTTACCCACTCTAATCCTTAGTCAAGGCTGAAAGTTTTTTTCTGATGTAACTTGGGGATGCTCAGCAGTATTGAAATCCCAAGTCATATCTGAAACATGAAGTCCACAAGCAGAAAGCGTGGAGTTTTGAGATTTGTATATTAAAGGTCTCACCTCCACCCTCAATCCTATAAAATGTGGTTCTTTCATATATAATTCACAGAATCTGTGATTGGATCAAATTCTCTGAAGCTTGTGCATTTTGGTTCTTATTCTTAGTAATTGATACCGAACAAATGTAAAGTTTTGGATTATCTTAAGCTTGGAAATTTCTCTTTGCTTTTGGATTAAATGGGTGAGCAGATTAGTACATTGAACACCCCCTGGTAACTTCTGTTCTGAAATTTTAGCCAGTAAGTTAGCATATTGAAAGTTATTGGCCCAATCACCTACCCTAAGAATAATTTACATATCATTGTCACCATCATCATCATTAATGAACACCCGTGTTATTCAAAGGAGTTTGCATCTGCTCCGTTTCTTAATGTACTGTCTAGTTTGAAGACATCCACTAGGCCTGGGCTGCCATTCGTCACAGTGGAACGGGATTCAAGTTTTGAATCTCTTTTTGGATCAGCTGCTTTGAATGTACTGCAGTCCTGTTCATTCTTTGTAAGTGGCTGCTTGGCGAAAAGATTGAAATACATTTCTGCATTTGAAAATGAATCTTGACAAGTGTAAACTGGTGGGAATTTTTGGTCGCCTTCCTGGGGTTCTTTTTATTTTGCTGGTCTCCTTTCCTCCTGAGGGCTCCAGGGAGGGTGGAGCAAGCCATTTAGCTCCAGCCCCCAGAAGCAGACGCCTCTGAAGCCCAGTTGGCGTGAGAGAAGTTAACGAGAGGCTGGCTATGCCAGCCAGAGCATCGTTAACTTGGCTTTTGTAGTTGCCCTTGAAACTAAGGTCACGTAGCTTCGGCTTTTGGAGGGCGGGAGAGGTGACAGTGGGTAGGAGGAGAGAGTCCACTTGCCCAGCTGAAGTGGCTGCACGTATCTGGGTCCTGTAGCTACTCTTTTTATCTCTGTGTCTTAAGAGTAGGCTTTCTCAACCATCAGCCTAACACATTTTTGTGGACCGGTCTGGTGGAAACCCCTGGGACTCAGGTGCGGATGGAAGGTATTTGCAGATGATGAAAGAGAACTGGGTTGAGCTGAATTGGTGTTGGGGAAGATTTCACTGACTCGCCGTGTCTCTCCTCTAGAGGCTGCAGCAGCAGCAGCGGCAAGGCCAGTGAGCGGCTGCCGCAGCACCTTGATTCCTGAGCCCACCGCCGGCTGAAGGCATTGCTGCAGACAGTCCATGCTCGTAGAGGAGGAAGGGTGCAGATGGGATTAACGTCCACATGGAGATATGGAAGAGGACAGGGGATCGGCACCGTAACCATGGTCAGCTGGGGTCGCTTCCTCTGCCTGGTTGTGGTCACCATGGCAACCTTGTCCCTGGCCCGGCCCTCCTTCAATTTAGTTGACGATACTACGGTTGAGCCGGAAGGTAAGTTATCTCATTTTGCTCTCGGGGTACCAAGTTTGTTTGGGGATTAGTCTGGGGGAAGTGGCCCTGAGGTCAAGGCCTGTTTGAGAATCAGCTGCCCCTTGTGTTGTGAAGGAGACTTCCAGGAGCGGGAGCTTGTGGCTCTCTGCCCTCTGCAAGCCAGGGATTACAAGAGAAGGTTCTCAGCTGTCACACTGCGGGCAGGGTGGTGTAGTTCGGTGGTTTCTTGGCGTGTGCGTTTTTCTCTGTGCTGGGTAAGGGAGGCGGCCGGCAGTTCATCCAGTGCCAGGAGAGCTGTGGCAGGCAGCTCGGAGCTGAATGCCATCTACCACTCCCTACTTACCCGAGAGTCTTGCTCACAATGTAAGGGATTGCAATTTGCCGGCAAAAGGAGTCACGCAGGGAAATTGCCAACCTCTGAAATGCTGACATTTTATTTTCATTGTCTAAGGAGAGAGAGCTTCTGAACTTCAGCCTGGAGAGGGTTGAGACACTACATTCTTTTTAGCCCTTGTAATTCATAATACTTAAGCCACACGTCACAGAGCGGCAGATTCTATTTTAGGTCAATTTGAAATGTACCTGGGCCTTTCCTGAATCTCTGAGAACTTCCAGATCTAACAGGGCGTGCGTTGGTGTTTCAGCTGTGGAAATTGCATGCAGACAACACATTATGCATTTTTGGAACATGCAGAAAGGCATGAGGCCAGTTGTGAGCACAAAACAAGGCTGAATTTTCCCGCCAGGCAGACTTGGAACCTCTTCTCCCGGGTCCTTCCGCGACGTCGGTAGCCCAGCCCCGATTTGGTGCCGCTCGAGATCTGTCATCAGTAGGGAATATTGGTAGCTGAGTTATTTTTCGAGTGGTAATCCGAGAATAAAACGGCAGATCCTAGCACTCATCGCCACTTAATGAACCTGTTTGCTGAGAGCCCACCTGGTGCCCGCTGAGCTCGGGGGGCCTGGTGGGCTGTGGTCCGTCAGCCGTTCTGGAAAAGACACCCTGCTCGGAAGAGGACCGCAAGCCCGTCCAGGAGCAGACGGAGGGGAGGGCTGTGTCCCCATCCGAGGGGGGCTCCCACCGAGACCCCGAGTCATGCAAGGATAAAGGCATATTTTTTTTTCTAAAACAGAGGCGCTTCTTAGCAAAAGCAGCTCAGCAGTCATGAGTGGAGACTCGTGCCCTTTTTCTTACCCAGAGGTTTGGAGGTTTGTAATAAACAGGTGTAGTGATGTTGCAGTGGCTTCCAGGTCTCCGGTAGGGAACCTGGTAGGAGTTTGTGTCTGAAGCGTTCACAGGCTCCGGCTCCAGGGATTATGGAACTGCCTCCTGGTGACAGGAGCGCCAATGTCACTTGCAATGGGGATGCATGTTTAAAGGGCTTAATGTGAGGGAAAATGTTCCTGGTTTCTGAAAGTCATGCCTGTACGTCTTTAATTTTGCTAATAATTAAAATGGATGTTTCTCTAATTGCCGGTTTTCCCTGGGGTGCGTGGCTCAGTACACTCACCGAGGCTGCTGAATGGGGGGTTTCCTGCAGTGTGAGCCCAGGAATGGCCCAGGTTAGGAAGAAAATGTCATTTTTCATTTCGACTTTCAGGGCAGTGTGATTGGAGTTTATTTCAACATAAAGTGTAAAATGGTCCTGGAGGACTTCTTTTTATCGTCTTTAATTATTGAGTGGAGTTTAAAAATATGTGTGTACCTACTGGTAGGAAGAGGTGAGGCAGAGATGGGGAGGGGAGTGGAGACAGACAAGGATGCAGTACCCCCGGTAGTTCTTTGTGTAAAAATGTGCATCCAACAATGTGAGTATTGTTGGAAGGAGGTCTTCCCAACCTGGCATCTGTGTATGCACTTGGGGGTTGAGGGGAGGTGCCTGAATTCCCTGAAATGGTAGGTCATATTTTGGGGTTCACAGCTCCTATGAGGTTTGCGTTCAGAGTTGTGAGATGTTTTTTTTTCAAACAAAGGTTTAGTGGAAGCTGTGTAAAACCCTGCAAAGAGGCGGTTTTGGAAAAAGCACACAACCCCCTAGTCCTCAGTTTCCCTTTCTGTCATCCGAGGGCTGGATTAGACAATCTTCAGGGTCTCTCTATTAATGTTAAATGAATATTAATATCCTCGGAAGCCTTCTGATGACCTGCCTTAAAAAGGTTGCTGGGAGATTTAAGTGGGTCTGGATGTAAAATGCTGTTAACACAGGTCCTGGTATCTAATGAGCACCTGGGACAAGTTGTTGTCGTGGTTGCCGGTGAGTTGGACACACCCATCTTCCCAGTTCCATGGGATGGCTGTGTCAGTTGCCACAACATCAGGAAACATCTAGGCTTTTGGAGACAGTTGAGAAGAAAGTTGCTGCCCGATGGAGGAGCAGCTGTGTTGGCTTTCTGTAGGGTCTGCACTTCCCCTGTTGACTGATTTGAGCACTAAGATGAGTTCTTCCAGCCCAGGAGTTTGGCTTTGGTGTTAGAGGCTATTAGGAAGGTAATCTAATTATAGACGAGAAAGAAGAATTTTTAGCAACTGGAAGCAGACTAAGTCGGCAGCTCTGGTTTAGGCTGTGGTCCTGGCGAAGTGGAGAGAGACCGACAGAGTCCCCCATCCATGTATGTCCATCAATCGCTGTCTGTCCTCCACGGTGTGTTTTAACTATACTTTGGATAAAGTAAGTTCAACCTCAACCTTCTATCATACAAGGCCTGACCTTGGAAGACTTTTTGGCTTGCTAGTGTGGAAGCTCAGTTTAGATAAATATGTCCAGAGAAAAATGTGACTTAAGGTCCAGGAAGGGGCCTGAGCCCTCCTTCTAGAGGATCCTTTTCCAGTTGTCTCAGCTTTGTACAGTATCATCTCATTGATCATCATCCTATCCCATCCATCATCTATCATCATGTCATGTATCAACATCATCTCATCTACCATGTATCATGATCATATATCCTGTCACCTGTCATGTATCATTTGTCTTCTGGACATGTTCTGAAGTGGTAGCTGTAGGTTTGGGTCCACTCAACTGACTTAAGAAGAAAATAGTCTCTAGAAGATTTTAGTTGTTAATATTGCAGACTCAAAAGATGAGTATTTTCAGTTGGTCAGTCATTCTTGTCGGGGGCCAGCTGTGCAGGGTTTAAACTCAGTTACTGACTCAAGGCGGCCAGTCCTCAATGCCAAGTACTGTTCTGTTGATTAAGGTTCTAATTATTTATAGTCAAGCTTGATTACCCTGTAGCAGAGAGGACTCTTGCTTTCAAGTTTTTCCTGACATTGTCACCTACTCTGGTTAATTAAGTCGTTGTTGACTTTAACGACATCTTTGTTTACACCAGCCCAGTAGGAGTTAAAATAAAAGGCCTTTTCCAACCCAAAACCTTTAATTACTTTCCCACCCTCCAGAAAGTGTGATGCTGAAAAGCAACAGCCTGGGAAGAAAGTAGTTTGCTTTTTTTTTTTTTTTGCAGTCAGTTTTGGGGCAACCTTCTGAGGTCATGCTGTCCTGAACTGATGTGAATTGGTCCAAAGTTCAATAGCAGAGAGATGGAGCAGGGGGTCTACATGGAGACCTCCCCACTGTCAGATTTTTCCAGTGTGGGTTAGGTCTTCCGTTAGAAGTATTGTAAATGCCATAATATCAGCCATACGCATTTAATTGCAAGTTAAAAGGAAAGAAAAAAAAGAATATATCCGCATACCAAGAATGAATGATTTAAAATAATCTTCTGTTTTGTATTATCTGCATCTTTGTTCCTCAATATGAGTGTTAATATTTAAGAGTTGACTGTAACTTGATAGTTAGCTCAGGAACAAGGACTTATTCTTAGTAAATTAAACCAAATGCAGGCTTGTGCAGTTAAATACACAATGAAGTACACATTCTTTATTAGTATATAAAGTATTTCACAATTCATAGACAAAGAGCTGTGTTTAGTATTACTTCTAGAGCAAAAATTTGGCAAGCCCAGAGAATTGGTATTTGTATACTTTCTATACTGGTCTGCTCTGATGCAGATTTGAAACGTGTGTGTGTGTTGCTGTTTTTATTTTAACCAATTAAAGCACTGAGAGGCGCTCTGGTAAAGAACACGCCTCCGATGCAGGAAACATAATGAGACTCCGGTTCAGTCCCTCGGTTGGGAAGATCCCCAAGAGCAGAGCATGGGTACCCACTCCAGGATGCTTGCCTGGAGAATCCCATGGACAGGGGAGCCTGGCGTGCTACAGTCCATGGGTTGCAAAGAGTCAGACACGACTGAAGCGATTTAGCAGGCACACACCTACTAGATGACTAGCTCCCACTAGGCCATCACTGAAGACTTGTTGCTTTCAAGTCTTTCCCATTAAGTTGAGGGTGAGGATTCACATAAATAGAGCAATCCCTATGAGATGTTTTCAATATCAAGCTTAATGAATAATTACATGGTTATGAAATAACTGGGGTAGTGTTTAAACAGGAAGAGTTTTGTTTAATGTTTACATTCTCAATAAAATGTGTCCAGGAGCCTTCCCGTTGCAGTCTCTTGTTTGGGTGTTTAGGATAATTGTTAAAAGGCTATCTCCCCCCGGCATCCCCCCACCCCCCATCAGAGTTTGGCTTAATTGTACATTTCCATTAAAAATCCTGTCCAATTTTAGTCTTTAAAGGAAAACATGGGAAATGGAGTTTGGGATTTTAGGCTCCATAGGAAATTCAACTTGTGTGTTACTTTCTGCTGTGCCGGTTAAGATTTGTAGCAGGGTGACTTGCCTAGGTAGGCAATTCAAAAGCGATTGTTTGGAAGTTTTTCAGGCTGTGCCACAAATGGTTTTCTGATCCAGTGTGTTTTATGAGGCTGTGCAAAAGACGCATAGTCTTTATTATTATTTCGTTTTTCTGGAGAGATGACTTTAGCCTTCGATTTTGCTTCCTTTTTATGCTTTTGCTGTATCCAAGTGAGATTTAGAAATGGCTCCTTTTCCAGCTTCCCTGGCATTGCAGGGCCTGGTGTGGTTAACTGTGTCA